CGCCTTAGCGCCAGGAATTTATAGGCATCCGTCAGATAGTAGTATCCGATAGACATGTATCCGAGAACATCGTACAACACACGTACAAAATCGGTTGTTGCGTGCCATTTCCCGACGAATTTTCGTGCAGAATCTAACGTGCGCGAAATTCCTACTGAATATGTAACGACCTGAATTGCGCTCATTAAGAATTATATTTTAGANCGCGTTACCACATGTTAAATTATTCATTTAAACGCAGTTCCATGTAATGATATAATAGCATTCTTATGTATGCAATCATATTTGCGCTTACATACTACCAATATCTGTTGTAATAATGTAACGCGCATATTATATACAAAAACAATCAAATCAAACTGATTACGTTCAAAATTCATTCAAATCTTTAATTCACGAAGAAGATATCTATTTAAATATAAGTGACACAAAATTCCGATAAAGATCTGTGTTAAACAAAATTCATCTGAAAACGGAGTTTCCATCTGCCACACCTGTTTAAAATAAGCGATAAGCGAGGTGATCACGTCACGCGGAACGTGAGTCANACCGTATGAATCTCTACTCACCAATGCCATCGTCAAATAACGCTTTCGTTATATGACCTTACCAAAACGAGTTTTTCGTCGAAACACACACGAAATTTTACGACGCGATACACGCAAAAGATAAGAACACGCGTTGCTATATTAGTCAACTCTCTCGCAGTCAGCTGAACTTTCTCAACTGTGTGATGGTCTACATTTATCGGAAATCGTTAATTTCGCCAATTCGCTGAAATCAGACGGGAATAACGCAGAAATACAAAGTGTCTTCGTGTGAAGTTTGTTCACTTTGTTCCTTTTAAAAAAAATGCGTTTTTTTTTTCGCGAGTTCCATGAGAATGCAGTCATTTATCTGATAAGAATATTTGCATCAGAAAGGTAGCACTCCAATTATCATCTGTGTTAGCGATATGTTTCTTTCATAAACTCTGCTGCATTACTAAGTACTGATAATATTCCCCGTCTACTAAGTACTGATAAATACGTATTTTTATCACTTTTGTGCCATTATTATGCAAAAATCGAAGGGCTTGCGAATTCCGCAAATAACACATAGCATTGCAGTTTTACGCGTACATTTTTCTATTTTCGTTAGTGATTTTATTTTCTAGTTTGTTCTGTGCGCAAGACCGGTTTTTTACGTTGAAATCATAAAGTGCGCTCGTGAAAAGTTGCGGAAAAAGGGCTGCCCTTTTCCGCCCTATCTTGCATGCATAAACGTTTATAAATTAAAATGGCGGGCACACCACTTTCCTCGTGCAACTTTCTATGACCTACATACATTCCGCGCGCTCCGCCAACGAGATTGCTTTTATCCGCATCGTCGAATGCTTAACTTCCGGAATAATTCACAGTCGACTTCTATAGATGATTGATTTTAAATCAGTCTTTCGGTTGCATATCCCCGTTCATTGCAATGGCTGCGAATTATAATATGCAACCGATAAACCCCGAGTTCAGCTTTATTGCTACCTGCGTTTATCCACGTGTTTCTCGTTTCATGTGCAATAGATAAAAAAATTGTAGGAAAAAGTTTTGCCAAGTATTGGTTATTTTTGATAATACATTTAAAAAAAAACAAAAACTATTTTTAAAAATAGTTATATATAATAATCACATTAACAATCGCAGTTTTGCGAAATAAACATATAACGTTACGTAATTTACTTGTAAAAAAATACATATGCAATAGCCGCGTGTAATAGTTGCAACAAATAATAAATAAAATAACGACTTGCGAATCACACTGTTGTGCTAAAGACATCTAGCGCATTCGGATTAAATAAATAAACAGATAAATATATTCAGAGAACGGATGGCGTCCTCTGTAAGATCTTGAAGTGCATCCATAAAACATGTCCCGATGGGAGAAATCCCAGAAGAAGAAGAAGGGAAAACAGATGACGATGAAACTGAGGGTAAAGAAAGAGAATCTTCCCGAGCCACATGTTTTCCCCGCGGAAGGGAAATTCTCAGACAGATGGAGGTGGGGAGTCGTTTTCACCGAGGGTGTTTTGTAGGGTGGGATCTGTGACGTGCGAGGAAAATGAAAGCGGAGACGGATCTTTTGAAAAACTACGCGTCGCGCGCGAATGAGCTCCGCTTTATAACTGCGTAGGTGAAATGACCTCGGTCAATGTCGAGGGTCGTTGTCCGATGTCAGGACGAGTATCGCTTTCCCTTACGTAAACGTAATTAAAAAGTCGCGCCGCGACGACGAAGGTTAATTGGATATAATGGACATGAACTTTTTTTTTTCACGATTAGTCGTTTCCACGTGCTTTTTTCTATCGCTCCGATCACTTTACAGGAAGCACGAATCGAATGAATCGACTAGCCGCGCGTCGGACGTGATAGTGTCTGTTACTCTATCATCGGAATATCAAAGTGTCTTAAATAGTGATAACGCGTTACGCAAGCTGGCTTTGGTAATGAGAGGACTTATTCATAACTTCCGAACGCACATTAAGCTACGAACTTACTACGTGTCTCGAAATGGCGAAACAAATGATTCATACTGCTGACAGATGCAACTTTTTAAAGAATCGCTCTTTCAAGAAATGCTCTTTCAAGAATCGCTCTTCAAGAAATTAGAAAGAAGAAACTTTTATCTCGAGATGATTTACTTCTTAATGGACAAATTGGACTTTCATTAACTATGTCGCGAACACTCTTCTTATCCAATATAATCGATTTGTCGATAAAAATACCTCAAGAAGAGTAAGCTGAACGACGTCACTTAACTTTTCGCGTCTTTCCCATCGTCTACCATTAATTGCGTCACATTTCTTTCAATGTAATTGAAACCGTGCGTACCACCAACTCACAAGTGCTTTTAAGCACGAGTGCTCTACGCATTTTTGAGAGAGTGATATTAATCTCTTTTTGTCCACTGAACAGCGTGACCAGTCAATGCCTGCCACAGTCTCTCTCTCTCTCTCTCTCTCTCTCTCTCTCTCTCTCTCTCNCTCTCTCTCTCTCTCTCTCTCTCTCTCTCTCTCTCTCTCTCTCGGCGAGACCGGTTATAACGAGATATCGATTTCGAAAATTAACACTGTAGCGAATACGGGGTATGGTTGATTTAAATACACATGAACTGATATTCCGAAAGCGTGTAAATACGATTTTGCGATTTGCGTAAATAATTCTTGAAATTATTCCGGGGGAAATTAATTCTCTAATAAAATTCGCGCAACGCACGCAAAAGGAACGACTAGTAATGCGAAAATGCAGAAACATTGACGTTATTATTATAAAAATGTTCTCATTTATAAAATCAATCTCATCATAAAATCCACAAACCATTTACTTTGACATATGTGCGACTTTCTACTTAGGTTTTTACTGAAATTATTTTCGTAAAGTGACAGACGATCGAATCGATCGCCTTCGTCTCGGAACGCCTTTAAATTGCATCTCGACAATTCCTGTTACCGCGCGAGTCGCGAAGGGAATTCCTGCGCGTCGTGAATGATCGGCGCCGATGAAAATAGATCCCCGAGCGCTTCTTCACTTCCGCGAGTGCGGTTTGCCTTGCAGATTCGCGAGAGCGCTGGATGCGCCGCAGAAATATTGCATTTAGCAATACACCGAGGATATCGGGCGAATGAATCCGCTGGAGCCGTCAATTATATCCTTATATTCATTCGTCTCGATATCCTCGGGTATATTTACCGTCAAGGAAAACATGAAACACTTCCAATTATGCAAACACCAATTGAAGAATTGACGATTCTCTTTGCTTTTGCGAGCGAAGTACTCGAACAAAGCGAATACTTTGATAAAAGAACGTCTTTGTCCCTTAATAATTACGATGCTACGTTGTAGTCCTAAAAGAACAGAAGGGAAGAGTCAGTGGCAATTAGTTTCGTCAATAACAAAATAAAAAAATTTGCGTGAAAATTGTATTACAAATTCCGACAAATAAAATTTAGACCAGTCTGTAATAATTTAAGTGTTACAACAGTGAGAGGATTAAACGTTCTGAACGTTATTTATAAGATATTTTTCTCGCGTCTTCGAGAAAACAGGAAACAGAATTACCAAAGACTTGATGTTTAGAGCTCACAGTGCGCGAAGCGGAGCATGCAATTACACACACATCTGCGTGTGCGCAACGACGTCGGATTATCGCTCGATGTTCGTCGCTCGGCAAGTTAAATTCGATTTGCCTCGCTCGCGCTACGAACGTTAATTGGAAAATTGCGTTCAATTAAAAGTTATTATCCCATTCGTCGTCCGTGTTCGCACGTAAATCGCAGCCGCGCCCTGAGTCGTCTCCTTTCCTTCTTATTTTCCGTTCACCCTCGCGCGTAGAGCTACTCTGCGCGCTCTTTAAAATAACCGGGAAGAACGGTTCAGCCGGAGTTCTCTTACGCGCGATCACCTCCGTATCTATATACGTTGTTGTTGCGAACGCGTACTAGCATTCTGCAGGAATTACGAGGGTGTAAAACGTGTTTAAATTTAAACACCTCGCCGTATCTAACGTCGTATTATTTACGTGTACACGATGCCGTCGCTATACGGTGAAAATCCGGTGAACACACCATTACACATGGAGTTTGTGTTCCGAGCAAGACAATAAAACTGCGAGAAAAGAAGGTGATAAATTTTGACGCGGGAAAATTTCACAAGGACTAACCCAAAACGATCCAAAATGAACGAAGTAGTATTAAGATATTTCGACCGATGAATAAATTGCCGATGGCAAGGCCGCGGAGTAACGGCCGCCAGTCTGGCGTCGATACACCCGCTGCTGGTTGCAGCGGAATTCGAACGCATCAGATTCGAACGGCGAGGTTGCGTTTGATACGCATCGCGAACGCAGCGCATAACCGCAAAAACCAAAAATAATGAAAACAAGTAACAAAACGAAGAAAGTTTCTTTGCGACTTGTTGTTAGTTTTGCATTTTCTTGACTGAAGTTAGACACAGTTGCATGTGCACGTATACAAATAAAAATATAAGTAATCAGGTTAAAATTTATTCTGGCATGAAAATTAAATTTTTCTCAAACATAGTCAAACATCATTTTAAAATGTCTGTGACAATATTTGTAGATGAATAAAAAATGTAAAACAAGATTGATGTATTTAATCAATTTGTTTCTGATGCGAGAAAAAATATCTTAAAAAATATGCCGCGACCTACAGGTAACAAATAGTTTTGTCAAAATTATTAATATCATTAATCTTTCTGTTATGTGATCGTGCAATTTTATGCTAATTATATTGAAACTTACAGCAAATTATCAGTTAAGAAACATACAATTAATGGAGTAAATCAGAAATGCTAAAACAATGTCACGACCCAAAGTGCATTGCGAGTGAAAAGAAATTAACGTAAGAAGCGAAGTTTCTAATCGCAATTTATTCACACAACGTTATATGTTACGCGCTCAATAAAATATCAAATACTATGTACATACGTACCTCGTAAGCTTATAAGAAAGGCGGCACATCTCGTTAAAATCCTAGTCACTTCGTGAAACACGTATACACATAGTTGCAGTCGCGGATTCTTCATGAAATGCCGCATCACTGAGAAGGATCTTCATGAAATGCCGCGCTTTATGATAAGCCTGTGGCATGTACATACATAGTTTAGCTCCTCTCGCTTCGTACACACATATTGTGTGTGTGTGTGTGTGCGTGTATATATTTACTAAATATTTCCTTCTAACCTTCGTAGCACGCACGAAAAAAAAAGTCACGAAGAAAGTAACAAGAAAAGTAAAAACCCGAGATCGTTTTTGACATCAAATCGAAATTCTTTGAGGAATTTCGCTGAATCGCTAAATAAACTGAGACACAAACGTGTGGAATTGAACTCAAGAAACGCACAAAATTCAAGAATTGCTAACAAATCAAGAAATTGCAGAAAGTATTTATAATAATTCATTATTGTTGTTGAAATAATTCTTTTTGTTTTCAAGGAACGTTGACTTTATAACATTTGACGGAAACAATTATAAAGTACTTCTTTCAGTAAAAAATGTCAGGGGACGCAATCAACTTCTAAAAGTTCGACAAAGAATTTACAGTAAGGCGAAAAATAATAAATTATTGCCACACGTAATATCCACCATTACCACAGAATATTCCATCTTTGCGCAAAACATTTTCAATCTTGCTTTTCCCACATTCTTGAAAGAATCCTTTCTTTCATACCAAAGTACTGACTCAACCAGATACCTTCCTAGAATAACAGCGTTCTTGCAGCAGATGCATTTTTTAACGTCTCAATATATTTAGTTACAAATATTTTTACGAACAAATTTTTATCGCGCAAACAAATCTCCTTAAACTCGGTCAGTAAACTCATTTACATTGATTTAAATCACATAAAGCGATCACAATAACATATATATGAAAGTTAAATTTACATTTGAATCAAAGTATCGTCTTTACGTCATGTTTCGTTTAAAAGCAGCGCTACGCAGTCTGCGAGAGCGAACAAGTTTGGTCAAGTTTCCGACCGTTCTCAGAATCTCACGGGTCAAATATGTACCTGTCGCAAAGGTACAGAAATAAAGAACGTGTTGAAAAAATTCTCTAAACATTCTTCGGTGACGAGCTCGTGAATTTTTTAACAAAACGTAACTTTGAACAGGAAATTCACACGAACGCTCAAGATCGCGAAGCGTATCCGAAGAACGGAGCGAAAGACAAAGAAAACGATCACGTTCTCGACGTAAAAAGACTTCAAACAGAGAAAGTAATCGTCCGATGCGCGACTGTTTCAGAACGACTCTTTGTATCTGCGTGCGAGGTCGCAGTTTGGATGAGCCAAGAAATTGCAAGTGTACATTGTCTCAAGACATTCCTTCACCGAGTCATCGAGAGTGCTGCTGTATTAAAGTTAATCTTTACGATGATATCAATACCGATAACTGAAACACTGTGTTTAATTGAATATTAAAAATAAAATTTAAATAATATTAAAAATAAATTTATCTTATATTTTTGAATGTGGCATTAAAAAATTGATAAATGTCGATTCACTCAATATAAAGATGTATGACCAGAATACAAAAAAAAAAAAACAATCGACGAATAGCAATAAATCAACAACTTTTTACAGGGCGAACAAAAAGGGAACACATCCACAAATATATCAAAGAATGACTCCCAAGTGGACAAACATATTGCAGATCCATCCACCAGTAAGAAGAAACTTAAACATCCGCACGAATCATCACTGATAAAACCGAAGTTAGCAAGCATTAAGGTTTATGTTTATTGAATAGTGTTTCTTTAACGACTTCTACTTGATTATGAGAATTTGCAGTAAAGAACGCGGCGTGATCATTAGAGGATTGAATACCGTTCACAGAGAAATTGATAGACTTGGTAAATCTATAATCAGACGATTCACAAGTCAGAGGATTTAATTAATATGAAAATTAATGTTCCCGGGAAAAACGTTTTAAATGCTCAATGTCGTGCGTCCGCATGTACATAAAATAAAATGAAAAGAGAAAGAGAAGACTCGTTGTCAAGATTAAGGAAGGAATTACGGAGATGAAATTATGTATCAAAAATTATGTTTTGTGCCAGTTTTTGCTGCTTATACGAATAAACAAGCTGCAAATTTGCTATATCTCTTACACTGACGATTTATTCAGTAATAAAAAGAGTTGACAAATCTGAAGTAATCCTGTGAAGATATGCTAAAACATATCTCGAGTTCGATATACTGTGAAAACTGTAACCTGAGTTGCATTGCAGATTATTGTTATTAATTCGATACTATGTTTACACGCAGATGTGTTATGTGGATATTGCTGTCTAGAAATTACATTGAAGTAATAACATACATAATTAATCCTATACAACATAAGACATACAAAATTCGGCGCGTCACGATTCCAACATATAATATAGTAAAGTAATACTTTACATTACATGTCTATTTTACGAGGTCCATTTATAAATATGGTACTGTATTCCGCATGAATTGCCAGAGGCAGTGATCATGAGTGAGGTCAATCGATATCGTTATATCTCCTAAACACATATATTCCATCGTACTCATCTTTTGACTAATCAAGACATCGTGTAGTTCTTTCTACACGTACACAAACACATCGCATTTCATTGAAACAAAAAAAAAATAATAAAAATAAAAAAATATTCAGCAAATACATTCTACATATGGACAGAATTCTTTCAAGAAGCGTCAAGAGCTTCGAACAACCTGCTTCGATGCGAAGTTTTTATGCGATCATCAAGCCAAGAAAGAGGCTCGCTGACAGTAAATTAAGCTATTACGTACGCATGAGGAATTAGTCTCAAAACACTGGAATGATCGGTCTTTTTCGAAAAGACCGCCGAGCGTAGTCAGTTTGTTGTCAAGTCAAATGGAGCAACATTCTTTTCGCATTTTACTCAAAAGCGCAAAACTTTAAGTAATTAATTAGGCTAAATGTTGTGGTGCAAACAACGCTCGAGTTCGGCAAGTCGCTGAGTAAATATTTTCTAGCATAGTATTATCGTGTTACAATCTGATTTTGGAAAAAGACATGTAAGACGAAAAGAAATGCAAATTCACCGCGTGTTGCGTCTGCCCGAATTTCGTAGCTCTTTTTCGATTTCAAACTGTCGCAAATCCGCTCTCTGTAGAAAATCTTGTCGCTCCAAGTAACCATCCCTGCCTCTATTGTGAGTAGTCAATTCTTCTTCTATGTTTTCTTGTTTCTTAAAGTTGTCCCAATCTAACTTGGACTTTTCTAAGGTACTAATTTTAGCCTTCTTTCCAATTTGTCCCAGAACTGAGGAGATACCACCACGTCTAATGCCACCTCTTCCTCGACCTCTGCTTGCTGGAGATGTGGATTCCGCAGATTTTGTAGAATTGTCAGCTGCAGAAAGTGACAATCTGGCTTCTGCAGAATCAACTGGCACTTCTTTCTCAACCTTTACTTCTTCACCAGCAAACTCAAAAATTTTGGTTATTTTAACTTTTTCCTGGACTTCTGGTTTTTGTGTTGATGGTGGTTTTTTTTCATTGGATCCGTTGATTGAATTATGTGGTTTTGATTTTGGCACAACAGCTGTGAATAATACAAAAGCGGTTAGTACATAATCTTTTTCAAATAGAAATGTAATTTTTTTTTTATTAATAATTAATATTTTATAATCCTAGACAATATGTTACCTGTATCTTTCATAAAATCAGCCCAAAGAGAATCTGCACGTTTCTTTTCTTCTTCTTCGGTGAGTTCTTTTTCTTTAGAGTCTTTTTCATTTTCTTCTTCAGTTGCTTTTGCTAAACCTCTTCTACGCTTTGTAGTTTTCTTTTGACTTCTAGATCTCTTTGCACCTTTCTTTTGTCCAGTTTCTTTTTTGTTTTCATCATTCTCATTCTCAGGACCACTTTCAGCATCACCTTCAGATTCTACTTCTGATACTGGATCACTCTCAGCACCATCAGGAACATAATCTTCATCATCATCATCTAAATCTGAAGACAACTGATGTTCTTCTGACATGTTTAAATGTGAACTGATACAAAAAATACCTATAAATAAAAGTAATAGCATTATATATCACATATATGTATTATTTGTTATTATTTATTACCTATAATACATGTATCATTGTATAATTCAAATATTACACATTTTAGATTTGTAAAATATTATATATATTATTGTATGTTTCTTATTTTTCATAATTAACAAAAACAAATTTTACACAGATAATTATGAATTATAACTGAGCAATAAACACATAACTATTCATATAATCCTTATTATATAATATAAATAAATATATAAGTATTCTTTTAAATTTGACACTATCTTCTTTCTTTATCGCAATTATAATGTAAAGTTCATAAAGAAATATTGCACAATAATTGTTACATTATTATATACTATGTTTTTTTGTACTATTAACATCGTAGTGCGCAAACTTAACCTTTCAAATTCAGTTGACTTCGCCAGTTTTGGACAAAATTAAACGCGGCGTTTATTGCGATTTCGTGACTCACGTTCTTTTGAATGGCGAGCCGTCGGTGCCAAAAATTCCACAAACGGACGTCGATCTGCCTTCCGGAAATGTCCGTTACATCGAAATGCGGCGTTGGATCAGATGTGCGATCGTTGTATTCAAATAAATCGTCGTTGATGCGATCCTAAACGAGTCTTGTCTACGCACACGGTAAACGCTGATGGTCGACAATTTTCCCGAAAATCATGGAAAAAGAGCCGCAACACCTTACGACACAACTCGCTCGACTCGCAATTCTCACAAATGCGACTGGCACACATTGCGGCGATATGCGACGGCACAAACAGCACCATCTAGTGACAAGTGTGCAAACTACGTCATCGATCGTCGCGATGCAACGTCGGTACAGTTGCGAGCAGCGCGAATTGAAATGCAAATTCATATCTTTTTATCTCACTTTTTGGAATTACGACTAAAAAATCGAATTTTAGTTTTAATAAGTTTGTACAAACACATATAGAAATATATGGTTTTTCAGCTTTAATATTGTTACATATAAGTTTTATAAAAAAAAAAGCATATCAGATAATTCTTACGTATGTGATCCGATAAAAATGATCTATAAGTTTACTCTCGCATTAAAAAGTTGTTTTGTATAACGTGTTATCATTTTTTTATCACTTATGAGTTTTTATCACTATGAGTTTTATTACAGGCGTTTATGTTTAAATGATCAAGTGACATGTTCATAGAGGAAAAGGTTGGAAGGTGTCGAGTTGCCCGACATCTTTCACGAATTAGCCGAGTAATAAATTAACGCCTTTTTCTCAAGATATTAAGTAGGATCAGTTGGGTCACTGCAAACCTCATATTACAGGATCCGTTCGAAATCCTAATTTCAACGAAACGAATGACTATCAGTTGACGGGGATTTTCGATGGATTAATAGATCAGGCCTTTCCTTCCGAGGCAAAAGAATGAATGGAAAGAGAAGGGGAGGCACATATGTGGAGTTTATGTTTTCGGGGTGGAGGGAGGGAATGATACGTGGATAAAAAAAGACATCAAAAATGGACGCCACCGCGTCTCATGATCGAGTCATTGTTAAATGCGAATTTAACGACAGTGTTCGTTATCAAACTCCATGACAGTGTTTTCGCAGGAACGATTGAGATAAATATATCAGTAATATAATCTTCGATGCACCAACAATAATGCAACATGTGACCTCGTGTAATTGAACACGTACGCGTATTCAAATCAGCCTTAAATGATCTTAGTCCGAGCTCGAGATAATGTCGTGATCGTCCGAACAATCGGACTCTGACCGTAGTTAACGCTTTCGTGAAATATGGTATTGTGTATGTGTGCGTTTGAGCTTCTGCCCGCAGTAACATTTTCACCAGGGGGAAGAAAGAGGAGCAGAAAGGATGTACCAGGTGGCCACGAATGTGCCGCGGCGTTCGCGCGATTGGAGAGCGCGGTATCTCCGAAAATGAGTTGAGACGAATGAGACCGGAGCTCGGATGTTCGAAGGCTCCGCCTGAGTTTCGGGACGTCCCAAATCTCGCGCCCCACCAACCAACACATTTTCTATCTATCTATCTGTCTCTTTCTCAGTCTCTCTTCCTTTCTCACTCTCCTCTCTCATGTGGTTCTCTCTTTGGTTTTTACTTCGAGAACTTCGACTAACAATTAGTTTCATGCCAAAGACGCGGTCTGTCGCGACGTTCCGTCTCCGCCAACAGACACTTATTAATCGCGCGAAAGAGAATCATCGATCACTCGGCAGGTACTCGAGCAAGTTTCATTATACTAATTAAATGCTCCGAAATGCAAGTGACAAATGACGACCAATAATTATGAGTGCGCGCGCTCTAGCTTTGATATTACTTTTCAGAGGACGACTTTCTGACATTTTGAAACATGTAACTGTAGTAAATAAAGTAATATTTAAAACAGCACGTATAAGTGAATTTTTGGTAGCAAAATGTTTTTAGAGTTTGTCACTCGCGTGTCCTCTCGTAGATCTCGAGAATTTCTGTGTTATTGTAAGTGTTTTTTGTGAGTGTGCGTTAAGAAAACAGAGTGAAAAGACGCGTGCAAAGATTTTTTAACTAACCCGAAGTACGCAGATTTAAAATATTGTCTAATATCGCTCTATTTTTAAGAATACGCGTCTAAAACTACGCATCTCGCGAGTATTTGCGAGCGCGCAGTATGTGAACGTTTTTGCTGAGCAGCTTAATTAACAACAGCTATTATTGATGTGTAACAGGATGCCTCGAAAACGGCGCGCCTCGACATCGTCATTAGAAGAATATCCTTCCGATGAAAAATATATAAAAAACGACATAGAAAGTCGCGCGCCGCGGAACGCCGCCAACGCTCGCGAGAGAGCCAGGATGAGGGTGCTAAGCAAAGCATTCTGCAAATTGAAAGCAACAATTCCTTGGGTGCCCAATGACACAAAATTGAGTAAGCTTGACACTTTGCGTTTAGCGGCCACATATATTGCTCATTTGCGAGCAGTGCTTAGAGACGATGGCGAAACTCTACCATACTCCGAGAGTACCAAGTCTTTGTCACTGACCTTAGTGAGTAATTTTTTTCTGCTATTCTCATAAGTTATAAATGCTTGAATAATTGACTTTCTATTTCTGATATTGTTTCTGAAAAAGACAAATTTGTTAAAGTTTAGTTAATTTTAAATAACATTAATGATTCTCAATTATATCTTGTAATTAATTATCAATAAGCAAATTTATCGAAGCTTTACCGAGAAGTTATTTTCGTACTATTTCTTGCTTTTACAATCGGACTTTTGACTTGATAACGATTCTCATAAAATAACATCGAGTCCAGGTGGATCCACTCGGAGTCGCGGGCGCCGTCTTCGCAGTCATTTCACTGTTTATGTCTGTCCAGGTGGATCGAATCACTCCAAAACCTCCTTACCCACTCTTTGTGCCATCATTAATTCTAAGTTAGTTCCGTTGTTTGAAGAAATGTGCCGTTTTCCGCGGCGAAATATCTCGAAGCTCTATTTCTCTTTTTCTCAAAACTCCGACAAAGATCAAAGACACCAAACTTTTAAATATTCCATCTCTTCTGCAATTTCGTCTGTGAATTTAAATCAAAAGTTCAAAGTAGTATTAATCTACACATCCAAATCTCATGTACACACTTAGCTGAAACGCACATATATCAATGTTAATTAATTTTATTTAAATGTGACAACAAGAAAAATCTGTTTTAATTGCAGTCGTGGCCGTTCGCCATTCAAAATAGTAACGCTACCACACTTATGAATAACAGTTGTAACGTATCTTCTTCAACATCTCCGAACTGTAATCAGTATCGAAGACAGCACGCACAAGCGACTCACGATGTTCAAAATTTTCATCATCCTGGGCATCAAGGCGCGTCAACGCGGCATAATCAAGAGCAGCAGCTCTCTTATTTCTAACAAAAACTACTGACAACCCGATCAGAGCTTAACCAACGAGAGATATCTGTCAAAGAGTAATCACCAGATGGATTTTACGTGATTTTACGACGTTTGGTGCTGTCGTTTCTTCACGCCTTATTTATTCCAGAGTGCCTTATTCTCCTAGTATTTATTAATTTAAAAACAAATAATATTATATGATATTATGTACATTTATTTATGCAAAAGAAAAATTATACGCGTCAATAACGCTTATGTCTTTACTTACGCATCTTTTGTATAAAAAAACACGAATATTGCATTGCAACGTCTACACGTAGGTTTAGCTGATAAAAATTTGTTAATAAAAAAATCAGTTTCATAAACAATATAGCATACAAAATATTGAACTAGTCCAATAAAAAGTTTCTAAGATTTTCAATATTTTTCTTCCCGTGTTGTTTAATTTTCCGTAGACTTTTATAATATACATATATATATATATGTATATATATGTATATATATGTGTGTGCATATCTATGGAGCTTGTCAAAGAATGTGGTCGTCGACATCTTCTGCCGGAGAAACGTCGAATGGCATCCGGAACAGCAGAAAGGAAGTTCAGTAAGGTAAGAAGGATAAAGAAGTTCAAGTTAAATAAACAGTACGAAGGGCCTTTTGTGTAAACTCAATACTAAAATAATATATCCCACACGGCGCGACAAATCGGCCGACACTAAAATGTATCGCGTAACAACTCTTCGTGCGTTAAACACACACATACATATATATACAAAGTCTACAAAAATTTTATAACGAGAGATAACGTTCTCTCGCGGATTTTGTCATCCTTATATGTTTGTAATACATTATTTTTAACTACCATATGTTAAAGTTACATACAAGCGTTGTGCTTAACGGAAATCGGCCCGGACTACTTTCCCGTGCATCATCAAGTTAAAAAAGGATGCGTTTGGATAGCGCGCTATCAACGACGCTATTAAAGCGTCATTTTGTATCCTTGTTTTACATCAGTCTTACATCCAAAGACTTTCGTGTTCCATGATATTAGAAATCGTCCCGAGCTCTCGGACGGAGAGAGAATCGATCAATCGCGATTCTATTTGACGTTACTCGGATCGATTATCGTGAACAAACTTAGAATGCTTATTAATTGCTCATTAAATGCAGAACAGATAAACTTACGCTTAAAGCGCGTGAGCGCCCAAAAGCAAATTAATCTCTAATGAACAATAAAATTAAAATACCATTTTACCTTTTGCGCTGTCCAAACTCAATCCAAAAAATCGGATCGTTTCTAAGGCTGCGTTCGGGGGAGCGCGCTATCAGCGCTGTTGCATCATTCTATCTTTGTTGTCTCATTAGATGTAAAAAACAAAGATAGAATGACACAATAGCGCTGATAGCGTGCTTCCCGAACGCGGTCAAAAATCGCTTCGCGCCTTTTTTTTTGCCGTCGTCACTTTGCACTGCGCACGTGCAGTGCCAATTTTTCTCGCGAGGAGTCGTGCCGACCACGGTGTGCCGACACAACTGAGAGAATTGGCGACGGCACACAACCATTGGATGCACGGCTCAGCGTGGATTGGATCAGCGCGACGAAGCACACACAGCAAACCGGAGCGTAGAGTGGAGAGCCAGTAGAGTGTCAGCCCTGAAGAGGGGTATCAATCGATTTTTAACCGTGTGTTGCGAATATGTACGGCATACGTTTTCACAATGTAGCGTTTTGGCAGTTGGATTGAAAAAATCGTCGCATGACCAGATCGGGATTTGTACGATAATCGAACGATATCAAGCGATCTGTGTCGATCTTTCGAGAGAGAGAAAGAATACTTCTCACTCTTACCGTGTCTTTTGGTATATCCTCTCTCCGTCTCGTCGTGGCGCGTGTCCAAGAACATAGTTCCAGAACAGAGAACGTGGAGCCCTCGCGAGGCCAGGTAACGAAGCGCGATATCGCGGCACGGTGTCAAGATGGCGTGTGCCACGAGCACAGCTGTTGTTTACCCACAAACCCGTGTGGAGCAGGCCACTGGTGGCTGGTGCTGAGAGAGGACGAGCGTGTGTGGGACGGCGCGACGCCTGGCTCCGCGTCGTCGGAAACTGATCGGAGGACAATGAGAGAGACGCTCGATGAATGAGCGGGTCAGAGTAACAACGGGTCGCGAGCGAGCGAGCGACGTGACGAGGACGTGACGGGGACGTGACAACAATAACGACGACGACGACGACGGCGACGACGACGACGACGACGACGACGACGACCACGACGACGATCACGACAACGAGGTCGGCAGCAGCAGAGGTGGCGGCGGTGGTGGTAGTGGTGATGGTGGTGCTGGTGGAGGAGTGTCGAGTAAAAAACGGACACGCAAAGAAGCACTCGATGGAAGAAAGTAGCGGGATCTGCGACAGCAGAAGTCACGAAGTCAGCGGGTGCAAATCGAGCGCGAGAAACTAACCTAGTCGCGTCCGCCATCGCTCGGCACGAGGACGGCGACGGCGACGGTGACGGCGAGGTGGAGCGATCGAGAGGAGGAATCGATATCGAGGGAGAAAGTGACGAAGTTAGTTCGCGTCCTCGGCGATAAAGTGCATTGTCCTGATGCGTCGTTGGTTCTTTTTTTTTTTTTTTTTTTTTATTGTGTTTTTGTCCTGTAGCACTTTATTAACATTATGTTACGTAAACCGTAAACGTAGAATAACGCGGCACTGATGATGACTGTTTTTTTTTTTTTTGGTTGTGAAATACTAACATTCGCATATGTCAACATGTTGCACGTGTATGTATGCTTGTCAAATTTTTTGACATGTTTGAGGTTAGACTTTTTTTTTTCAGCTGTGCACACATACAAATAGTGTACAAGTTAAATTCCGATGATAAGAAATTATCACTGTTTATTAGTTTGTGATAAAAACTGAAATTGTTGAAATTGTTTGCTCACTTTGAATGAGTAATTGTTTGTTTTTTTTTTAGTCATTCGGACTTGGAATGATATGGTAGTCATTGTATGTATACCTCATCACTTTTCGTCACTCTACTCTTTTACAACACAAATCTTTTGTATCTTTCGTGTCATTGTATCTTTTAGTAAGATTACCTTCTAATTTTTTAATCCGACTGCTGATTATGTTGTGTTTTTATATTGCATTCTGTAGAATTTTATTCTGTCGTGTACATCTTATCTGACAATGGCATTTTATTTATAATTTAGTATAGATTGTTTTCACTATATTAGTCATTATATTTTATTTTATATTTTACTATATATTTATTAGAATTGTTTTTATTTTTTTTAACATTGTTAAAAATTGTGGCAAGAAACGGTTATGTGTGATTCACAGATATCATCATGAACGCTAGAACACAGTTGTTTGAATTGAGCATGGAGGGACGCCAGGTGGATGAGGCAGTGGCAAGTATATTTCACACTGTGCTCTTCCACCGAAGCCTTGGAAAATTCAAGTACAAACAAGAAGGCAGCTATTCAGTGGGTACTGTGGGATACCAGGATGTAGATTGCGACTTCATTGACTTCACTTACGTCTGCTGCTCGTCGATATATCTCGACCAGACCCTAAAGCGTGAGATATCAGGCTTCTCCGAAGCTCTACGCTCTACCGATAGTCCAGGTTCCGGTCAGATATCCCTAGAATTCTTCCAAAGGAAAAAGAGCCGCTGGCCATTTCAACCGGAATGCATACCATGGGAAGTATGGACTGTACGTCTTGAACTCATAAAATTGGCCACCGAACACGAACGACAGATATGTCGGGAGAAAGTAGGCGATCTGCTGACCGAGAAGATACTCTATATCACCGAGATCATGAATCGGCACGATTACGTTCCAAAAGTACCGAGCCAGGCCGAGTTGGATCTGATCTTTGACACATCGTATCCTGACATACAGCCGTACCTCTTTAAATTGTCTTTCTCAACGTCCAGTCCGTCAACTACCACAATGGGCAACACCATGAAGAAATTGATCAGAGAAACGCTGTCCATTTAGTTGGTATAACAAATAGTTTCACGACTAGTAGAATATTCATACGACTTAGAATTATTTGAAAAGTATAAAGAACTCGCTTTCTTTTTATAAATTTCTGTTCTTTGCATTGCACTGTGCAAATTTTGTTTGTTTTTGTATTCTTAATGACTTAAATCTATCATAGGTATTAGTATAAGTTTCAAGAATTCTCTCTCTAAAGTTTTTCTTTTTTTTTTCTTTTTTTCTTTTTTTTTTTTAAAAGAAAGCAGAGCATAGTCTCGAATTTTTGGCTATCTGCATTCTATTAGAGACTAGGAAAGCTCGGTGTACATTGCCTACATGCTAGATTCTATCGGTTACGTAAGAACCATAAGAATAGCATCTCTTATAACAGAAATATTACTTCATATATCGCAGAGATTTTCGCTGCTGTGTGTATCTCTAATGTCTATATAGTACAAATGAACACAACACTCTTGTAACACTTTTTTTGTACTTTCTCATGTGGTAGTTTATCGGAAATAATTTTGGCAGGATCATGATAGACACGTTTTACATGATATTTCAGAATTACTATACCTCTTCAATCTCATGCCGCTTCCACAGACGACTCTTGTGGCACAACGACATTATGTTCCTCTTTTGCTTCTCATCCTGTTTAGTGTAAACTTTGTAGGATAGTTTCGGAGCATATCTTCCCAAGTTTATCCTCGCGCGTCACACTAAGAAAAGATAAGTTTCAGTTAAGATATAGAGATGATGTGTGAACACATGCAGAGCAGGATATTTCCAGATCCTATTCTTTAGTATCTAGTAGAGTGAGAAAGTTTCAATGCGTCTCTTAATGATACTCGTCACTTGCTCTCCATGATAAATTCCTCCTACTACATGACGGCTGTATTTAGCGCTGTTTACTTTGTTTTTCAGTCACTAATGCGTTGAAAGTATATATAGTTAATTTCTGAACGATAATTACACAGTGCTTGAATTCTGCATATGTAAATATATATATATATATATATATAAAATATATAATATATATGTATATTCATATATGTATATCTCTAAGCGTTGCATACACCCCAAGTGCGTACACGCGCGCTTAAATACAGAGTCGTTATTTCCATCGTAAATTTAACGTTAAATATCCGGCCGTTTAATTTTGGACTTAGTTCTATTTTCTCGTTATGTGCGCGAGAAAATCGCATCGAGTTGTAGGACAAGCGACGCGGGCGAAGCCATATATTTAACGTTAAATTTTCATCGAAGCGAAATGTTAATTATGATTATTATGATGTGTGCGTGGGAGCGAGTGTAATTTATTTTAATGAGTGATGATACGTAACGTAATGACGTTATGTGCGCAGATTAGCAAATATAATTATTTTACACCGCTTTCATTGTTTTTTAAGTTGTTAATAATAATAAATAAATAACGTAACTAAGCGTTAAGTCAATGCGTGATGCTCACGTAACGGGCCGGGTGATACGAAAGAACAGCACGGAAAATGAAAAACGGAAATTACATTTTCCCAAAAGTTTCGTGCCTTCGTATCTACTAAATTTTGATAGGAAAGTTTATGTGCTAGTGAACTAACATACCTGAACCAGTGGTAATATCATTATTATTTATTGACTTTTAAGCGTCTCTCTCATCTCTTATAAGAGCAGAACAATCTCTTTCGCGCGCAGAATATTAAATAAATCTGTGATTGTTCTCGAATTCGAAAACGGCTTCTCTAATGACGAGCGACAAAAAAAAATAACAAAAAAAAAAAAATAGATGTCGTTAATGTCGTATCGTTTTAGAATTTTCAAGTTAACGGGAAGCGCACGGATATCGGAACGCTCGATGGCGATGATTCGCGCGCGATTATACTTATTATATATTGTAAATAGTATGTGTTCGAAACTTATATGCTACAAATCAAAGACGTCGCGTTGACGAGATCATCGCACGTTCCGAGATTTGTGCTGTTAGATTTTCCTACGACCAATCAGCAAAGATATATCACGACACCAATACCGTAGACGAGAAGCGTAACGTTTACTTTCCGATTGATCATGTATCTACTACATACTGCTTTCTTATTCGCGATGTTCTTTAAGTAGTATCGAATATATATATACATATATATATATTTGCGATTTGTAACAATAAGCGTTCACAAATTATATATTAATTAATTTTATCGGGTTGTTTTCTTTATTGATTAAGAAAAAAGAAAAAGAAGAAAAAAATCGATATCTCGCCGCTCTCTGCGATTCTGAATAGAAAGTTGATTATGCAGTCTCTTTTCCTCGCACCACCCGGTATATATGATTGAAAAAGAAAACAAAACAAGTAAAAAGAGTATTGCGGCATAAAACCGCGATACGACATTATGACAAAGAGAGCCGCGTGTACATACGTGCAGACACACAACATATACATATAGTATATACACATATACATTAATATGTATATGTATATACATGTGTGTATATATATATAAGGCAAAGAAAGAGAAAAGAGAGAAAAAGAAAGAACGAACGAGTGGCCAAGTATGCATGTCTAAATAGAGTTCTGCGGGTTTGTCAAATTACAACATATGCTGTTATAAAACTAAAATTATAAATAATATATATATATATAAATATATAAATAGCAACATAGAGAAGATAAAACCGAGACCTGTATATTGTAAGCCGCGAGACAAAATGTGACAAAATATAATGTAGTGTATAGCACAGGGAAGATGAAGTATCTGCAAGTTTTAATTTATCATGATGAGTACGCTGATGATAAATGAATTATTAATAAATTACTGTATTTTATAATAGCACTTTTTTATGAAAACACCTACCCTTTTTTTCATGAAATGTTTTAGTCTCATTATAACTTTTCAATCTTATTGAATAGAGGCGAAGTCCCGTGATCACCTGTGCGCTTTTGTTTAAACTTTAAAAACGAAAGTGAGCATCAAGAATTCGCAAAATTAGGCGCGAAGATCCGAGGACAAGAGTGGCTTCCTCCGCAACCGCCAGTAACGCCATCGAGCGCCTTACTGACTAACCTACATCAACCACGCGCCAATCTACAAATTTCTGTTGTCCAAAGTTAAGTTGCGTCAACCAATCCAGTCATTTGATAATTCGTAGATTTCACTAGCTATTGGATACTTGTAAACACAACCTACGATCATTGCGAGTGTCATGTGGAGTCTACTCCAAAGTGTCTGACAGTGGTTTAATGTCAAAAGAACGTTCGGATTTTGTAAGCTTCACATATTTAATTGGTGACGTGATTGTTTCTTAAGTTCCATAAAATGTTGCGTGTAATAACGAGACAAGTATTATTACAGGTACTTGTTAGAACAATTGCGTTTTATTATTACTAAAATTGAACGTTTTGTTTTTGTATAACCTCTGCTTATTTGTACTTTCAAACGACAAAACCACGCATTACAAAATCAGTCATTGCTTTCAGAGAGTAACAATTATCCCTTTACGGACATTTAGTCAACACGGTGCTAGTCAAAGTAATCAATCAACTGTTGTTACAAATGTGCAAGGTCTCAGTGAGAACATTGTTAAAGTTCCGAATACACGTAAGATCTCGAACAAATGTCTTGGAAAATATTTATCATGGTATCAACTTTCTTGATTCAAACTCAAACTTATTCAGCTGTAGGACCTGATGCCTCCAAAGATAAGGAGTACAAAAATCCTGAATACTTTTGCTATCATGTGGATTCGTTTGGAGAAGCTGAAGTGGAACTAGCGAAATTTAGGTTGCCAGCACCTTCTAATAAGAGACCGTTCCTTAAATAAATTAAGATCAAACTCCCTTCTCTCCTAGAATGTAGAATATTATTAAGATCACATACTGCCTGTGTATAAAAAATAAAAATATACGGAAGAAACAAGTAACGTCTTTAAAAACGTGAATGTTTCTCCACAAATTATGATCACATCCTTGTATTTGAGTTCGGCTTTTTCCACACGCTAGTTTTAAATAGAATCGTCTGGTTTTGAGAGTCACTGGTTGTTTACGTAAAGATTACGAACTTATCCGAAGAGCACGATCGAACCTAGCCGAAGTATTTGTTACGTTTAGTTCCCTCGTCCTTATCACCTCAATCTCGGCTAAGTGCAACATCTTCAGCTGAAATGTGCCATCCTTACGATTCTTTGATTCATGGTATAATGAACGATGTATATACGAATACCGGGTGTCACGTAGTCAGTAATCAGTATAAAAGCATCGACTCGGCTTCCGTAAAGCAGCGACGTCACGTATCGCGCGAGGAGATCAAAGTTCACTGTTTTCAATCATCGATCGTTTTACTCCTTTAAGTTTTTTTTTTTTCATTTCCTTTATTGAGTTGTTAATTGTTCATGTTTGTGCGTGTAGCAACTTGCCGATGTGAATCCTCCGAAGAAATTTCAACAACGGTTTCTTTTTTGTTTTTCGTTGTCGACTTTGCTCGGCGCATCGGACAGAACATCTTGGTGTTAGGAATATGTCTGTAACGCGAAACCGGCTCCTGTCGACGTTCGGTGTGGCGCGGCGCCTTATCACCGCCGAGCACGCGCGTGTTATACGGACGGATATGCGAAGCGCGTGCTCGTCTACGACATATCACGAGGTTGCGACGTGCTGGAGGTGAGATTGCGCGTAATATGTAATTTTATGGATTTTTTCGCGCAACTTTTTGTGTTGAAAAGAAAAATTTTAAGGTATTTAATAGTAATTTTTTTGTCTTAGTGTGTGTATTCTTGACAATAAAAAAAAGAAAAAGAACATATTCTTGACGACAATAAAAGACAATGAAAAATATCCAATGACACGCAAACAATTGGCCTATTGTTCACAATTTTCTTCGAGCAGATTCGAAGTTTAATTCTTATCAATTAAAATTGTAATTAACGGGAAGATAAATATATTATAAATTAGAAATATATATATTAAATACAAATAATAAAAGTGACAATAGAGACAAAAAAATCAATCTTGCGTGCATTTAATAAAGTTTGTATTGACGAAGACGGAAATTTAAATGTCCAAAAACTTTATTTACTATCTTCAAGTAATAAATAATACTAAACGTACCCATATAAGCCACGTTTGCTCTATTACAATTTATTATTTGTATTTAATTTTATTCTTATTTTTTTGCCATGTTATGTCAAGTGAATTTGCAAATACTCTGTTGTAATTAAGCCTTGTTTATGAGTGCAATAACTGTTAACTTATGCCAGAACTGGTAAAGTTCAATTATAGGATTTCATCTGCTTCTGTTTATACGAAATTGCCGAATGCGTATAAACAAAAGCATTGAAATCCTATAGTTGAACTTTACTAAGTTCCGGCATAAACAAGGCCTTAAAGTTAACAGTTATTGCCCGCATAAACAAGGCGTTACACGTTAGAATCTATAAGATGATAAAGCTCGAAGATTTCTATGCGTTCTATTCAAATTCACGTTCTATTCAATGCATTCTTTATACATGTAAGAATTGGAAAAGAAATACGTTAAATATGTGATCGTACAGATCAATGATAAGATTATTTACTTTTCTCAATGCGTCTACAGAGAATTACGAAACACGGATGTTTTGTATATTTACATAATGTTATCAGAAGAAATATTTTAACAGGCGAGATGAATAAGTAACATATAGTTTGTTATACAAACGTTTCAACGAGAGAAGTATATTTTACAAAGAGAGAACCACTTTTTAATAATTTTATTAACTTGTTTGCAATTATCTTATGTATATTTTTTATTTTTATTTATATTAAATATTTGGAATTGAGGGGAATAAAACATTTGTAATAAATATTTTTATTTCAAATACAAAATATAAGGAAAAAATATAAATGTATACATATGTATGTATCATATATTATCCGTCTTTTTATGTTATATGAATATCAATTGTCGATGATAAAAAAGTCTCAATGTGTGCAATATATATCACTGATATTTTTTAATATTTAAAGTATTTTAAGTCAGATGTGTAGATGTGTCGATAACCCAAAGATCGCATTAGCACGCAAATGTATACGAAGTTTTTTTTAACTATGTACTTAATATATACAAGATGGTATTTGCAGTCCGATCTTTTATTTCAGATCTGAATTCATCTTGAGATGCCGTCACACACACACATTGCCTATACACCATCTTAACATAAACTTTAAGACCTTGAATATAAAATCAGATGAATACTAGCCAGTATATTTAAATGTTTTGCGAATATTATAATTTTATAACATAAAAAGTGTAATTGATTTTACGGTACGAAGTAGAACATATCTCTGTTTTTTAAAATGCCTCATTGCCATATAGCCTTTATACTTCTTTTTATCTTTTGTCATGTCTGGATATATCACATACATATGTATTTCTCTTTTTTTTCAACATATATATACGATATTCCTCTACGCAGTACTCCGCAGTTTCCATTCTCTCTTTCAAAGAAGATCCTGTGTGGTTGTACTAAGCAAGATACAAAATTGTAGATAATTGTTGCACTCTATTTGTAACAAATTGTTTTCATCATATTCGGTGCTCTTTGTGATAATTTTATATAACTCGCGATAGCAGGTTTATTCGCTCGCATAAATTGCTGAATATTTTCAGCATATTTCGATTGTCCCCAATCGTCGGTATCTTCAAAGTATATTAATTCTTTAGGACATTAGATAGTAACGTACGAATGGCTCATTCCATGGTTCAACCGACATGGCAAACAAGCAAGGAGGAAAGTCGCGAAATGATGGCTGTATGGCCGGACGTTGTTCGAGATCTCACGGATATGACCGACCGATTAGACATTCCGGATATCACCAAATGGATGGCAAAAGTAAGTTATTGCCAATAATAAAAGATAAGAAAAGGTTTAAAACGTAATACATTTGTTTTTTTTTTATCGTGCACATATAGGCATTACAATATAATGTTCCGGGAGGAAAAAAAAATCGAGGCTTATCGTTAGTTTATGCTTACAAATTACTAGCACCTAGCGATGAGCTTACGGAGGAAAATATTCGTCTAATACGGATTTTAGGCTGGTGTGTGGAATTGGTGTGTAACTTTGTTCTTATAATCTATACTTTATCTCTATTACTTTAATCTATAATAATGTTGCGATTACGTTAAAATATGACTATTTATTATATGCAGGTGCAAGCCTTCTTCCTCGTAATCGACGATATTGAAGATGGATCACTGTATCGCCGAAACCAACCATGTTGGTACAGACACAATGATATCGGTTTAGCGGCAATCAATGACGGTCTAATGATGGAAAATGTTGTATATTACTTAATTCGAAAATATTTCAAGGGAAAGGAATACTATGTTGATTTGCTAGAAACATTCCAGGATGTAAGTATCTATTCTCGTTTTTTAGCAAGAGCAAAATTTTAGGAGATTCTCTTTTTTTGAAAAAAAAAAAAAAAAAAAAAAAAAAAAAATAGAACAAATTGTTCTTGTATACCGGTCTCAAAATTGCATGTAACGGGATCTATCTATTATATAAATGAAGTTTGTCGTACATTCGAACTGTTATTTACAAAAATGTTTTTGGCAGTCCATATTGAAGACTGTAATGGGCCAAAGCTTAGATTTGTTATCCACCGAGTTTAACAAGAAACCGAAACTAGATCTCTTCACAATGGATCGATATAATTCCATTGTCAAATACAAAACGTCGTATTACTCTTTCGTCTTGCCAATAACTGCAGCAATGCATTGTGTAAGTGCAACTGAGTTTCTCTATGCACGAGGAAAAAACTCTTTGCAGTGATATTTATTTTGTCGACGCGGTACTTAATTTTCAGGCCAAGATAAAAGATCCTGAGATGTTCAGGCAAACAAAAACAATCTTAATGGAAATGGGACATTTCTTCCAAGTTCAAGACGATTATTTGGGCTGCTATGGAGACTTAGAGTCTACTGGCAAAAATAATACTGATATAGAAGAAGGAAAATGTACGTGGTTGGTTGTTGTGGCTCTTCAACGCGTAACAAAGGAACAGCGAAAAATATTAGAAGTGAGAAATATACTTATGTATCGAATATAATTGTATTCGATAACATGTGTCACGCAATTGTTCTATCTATATACATACATATACATGATTATATACCTAATATTTTTCTTACAGGAATGTTACGGATCCAAAGAAGAAGAGAAAGTCAAACGCGTAAAACAACTGTATAACGATTTGGGATTACCAAACATGTATTCTATATACGAAGAGGAAACGTACAATTTGTTGAACACTCATATACAACAAATATCGCGCGGTCTTCCACACGATCTTTTCCTAAAATTATTGGGAAAGATTTATCGTAGGACATCATAAAGCATCATTTATATATCGAAACAATAATCAATCAATGAACATGTCAATGCGCCCGAGAATCTCGTCTTGAGAATCATTAAATATTACTTCGACATGTACACAATCAATAGATCAATCTAAGATTTATAAGAGAATGATTTTAATACATTAATAAACATTTTTAAAACAAGTTTTATATTATAATCTTTTTCCAACGTGTATAGAGAGAAAATATATCTTTTCTAAACATTTATTTCTTTTAATCTTTGAATAATAAATTGTAATCATTGCACACACATACATTGAGTTTTTTTTAGGAATAAATATATGAAGAAAATAAAAATTGCAATAAATTTTTATATAAAGTAATCTTTCGCACAAACTACAAAGAGCTTTTTTATATGTACATATACACATAACTTATATCAAACAAATAGCTATTAAATACAAATTTATCTATACTGATCATGATCGGCCCAGTGGTCTCGCGGCCTGAATGCAGAAGGCTACGAACTCGGAAGTCCCGAGTTTGAATCCACTCACCACTTAAGGATTTTTTTTCCTGATTCCTTTCAACCGAGTTTATTGGTTGATCGGCGAATCGGCGGGACTCCACAAATTAATTCGGGTGTAATCCCGAATTTCACGGAAAGGAGGGCCCCTACCGTGAAATCTCTTACTCTAAGAAAACCGCACATAGAGAATAGAAAATGATATTAGCATCTAAACTTCGGGAGGAGTCACGACTAAGAAGAATACTGATCATAAAAATTTACCAATTAAGGAAAAAATATTTATTATCGGAACTTTTTTACTTTTCTTTTTTTACTTTGCTGAGTTTTTTTTTCATTGTTACGAATTTTTGAACGTACAATCAGTTTTAATTCGCGCCTTAAATTATTGAATTTATCACTTGTAGCTTCTGCACTGAAAAATTTTTCAGCTTCTGAAAAAACATTTAAAGTTTCTATATTATCCGTGCTTTATGAGCGAACCTGATCATATAAAATGTTCAAATACATACCATTGAATCTTGCATCATCTTTTTCAAGAAATAAAGTATCTTTATATTCAGATAAACTATTTGCATGATTATTCTTACTGTCCTCAACCATTTGTTTCTCTGTATCTGGTGCTGTATTTATATCTTCTTCATCCGAAGAATCACATTTAAATGCATTATTTTTATTAAAATGAAATTTAAATATCTTATCTTTATTTTCGACTATGGAGGTATCGTAACTTTTCTTATCTTCTGAAAAAAGATACAAAAATCAGAATCCATTGAAACAGTAGATACAAAAAACGATATATATATATACACTATCCTCGACAAAAAATAATAAAGATAAACCTGTATTATCCTTTTCTTTTCCATATATTTTCAATAGACTGAATTCTTCTTTCTGTTTCAAACTTTCTGTTAAGGTGTTAGATACAGCATAATAAGTATTCTTTGATACCTCCACAGTTGTAGGTTCTTCAATTTCTTCAGACTTATCAAGTTTTCTTTTTTTGATCTTTTTTTCCTTCTTTTCTGATTTGTTTTTAGGTTGCACTTCATATTCACCATGTTTACTTTCAGTTGGATCATATCGTATCATCAATCCCTTTCTGCAAACATTTTACTATTAATTATCCAAACCACTACTTTTTACAAATGTGTTTTGCATATGTTACAACTTGTTTAAAAATCCTTACTTGGCTGGCTTTGTTTCTTCTTTCATTTCTAAACATTTTGTTTTAAAAGGTTTTCCTAAAATATTTTGTAAAATATCTAATTGTTTCTCTTTTTCTGTCTGCAAATCAGATTCATTAGTATTTTCCACTAATTCAGTTTTCTCAGACTGATGATCATCTTCCAAAAAACGATCATCCAAAGTAAATCTTGCATCATTTCCAAGAGTGACCTGTAATAAGAAACTATGTATGTTAATATGTATTATAACATTTTTGAAATTAGAAAAACTAAAACATAAAGAGTATATTGTTAACCTTCTTATGTTTATCTTTGTTACTACTAAATTCATCTTCATTCCATAATAAATTTGTTTCGTTATTGTCATTATCATCGTCACTAAACAAATCATTCTTTTTGTTTTGTAATTTTGGACTTTGCTGCTTGTCACAATTATTGCCATCATCATCTTCAAATTTAATTCTGTTGTTTGTGGCATTCTGAAAATAATAGATAGTTACAAATTGCCAGAATAAAAAGATAAAGTACAATAACAAAATAAAAGCTCATTTTCTTACAATGTTACTTAATGCATCCCGAATAAGCTGTTGTTTTGCTTTATATATTTGTCTCTTTTCTTTCAAAGCTTGCAAACGTCTTTTTTCAGCCATACCAAAGAGAGGACCGAGAGCGGCCATAAGAGAACCATAAGAGTATGTAATAGCAGAGAGAAGACTGAAGAGATTTGTAGATCTTAAACATGTGCTCACGCTCACACTCGATAATCAACAAACTTTTCAGGTTAGAAAATCGTTCGTATATTTGCGGTTAGTTCACCTTCATACTTTTTTTTCCGTTTTTTCGAACTACATGTAACTAAAGCCTGTGTCACACTACGTATTGCAGATGTGGATTGGATTGGAATTGCGGATTGAAAGTTAGCCAATCAAGACGAGGCAGCTTCGTCTTGATTGGCTAACTTCCGATTCGCAATCCTAATCCAATACACGTCCACAATACGTAGTGTGACACGGGCTTAAGTCCGTATAAATTGAGATTGAGATTAAATTAAAGTTTAACCAAAAAGCCACTTTTGGGTTTAGTAAATTTTATCTTCATTGGTCAAATTTCAGTTCTATTTCTTAAGAGGATGCTGAACCGCTGGCAAAGGTTCCGTTTCACGCATATGCGCGCATGTATCTATAGTACACGTCACGTATAGTATAGATAAATGCGCGCATATGCGTGAAACGAAACGCAAGCTAAAAGTCCGCTCAGCTGCTACCATAGACATATAAGAAATAGACTGCGCGTCCCGTATCTTTTCTGTGCAGAAAGAATGGTCAAACTTCGGACGAGGATAGATGCTTTCACCCGAGTCTCTATCCTTGTTTAGTGACGCGGTGATTGGCGGACAAGAAAAGTAGTAGGAATGAGAAATAGCGTAGTGGGGCAATAGAGGAGCATCGAGCAATGAAGGGGCGACAGTAGGCGATTGACAGCATAGACATTCTATANAGTTGTCTTCCGAGTGGGGAGTCCCCACTCCAGGTGCTGAAAGACAGAGACAGAGACTCGGGTGAAAGCATCTGTCTCACTCCGAAGTTTGACTCACTTCCCCTCTCACACGCGCAGTCTATTTCTTATACGTCTATGGCTGCTACTCAACTGTTATGCTAACGAGTAAGTGGCGCCATCTCTCGGGACTGAGTCAAATCAAAACAAGGATAGATGACATGAGAGAGACAAGGATAGACATATGTTTCTCTCTGACGCTTCTTTAAAATAGTAATAATCGTAGTTTTAATTTTTCTTGTCTCACAAGGCTTCAAAATCTTTTTTGAAGCACTCAAAATATTCGTCTATGTTAATATTCTAGTTTGTTTTCTAGTTTGGGTAAAGATATTTTTATTTGGATTTATACGGCCAATTTTGCATGTAAAGTAAAAATGTAGTTTCTGTAATAACAGTCTATAAACTTTTTTTTTGTTTTTCTTAAATTTTTATGCTTTATCCCATTCTTTACTATATTTTCTTTGTTTCTGGAGAAGCATTTTTTATTCCGATTCATAGTTTTTACAAAAAAAAGTTAAAAATACGACATGAGGGTATCAGATGTATATCTGATATCTTCTTTCAAACGCAGGCTATGTGCGCGAAGTCTGCCGCGATTCTATAGTTCGAGAATCGCAATATCGCGCACTTCGATATTTCATTCGTTTGGCGCGCAGTCATGACGAGCTACGCGGAACAGTAGCGCGGACGTACATTTGACTTTACTTGTATTTCTTTCAATTATTATCGTTTCGGACGCAAATATATTACGCGTGTGTCGCAAAGTATCGTGCGTACGGTGTAATGTGCATCCGGTACAGTTATGAGTGACGCTAATTAACAAAAGAAAGCTTTGTGTAATGGTTAAACGCGACCGCAATTGCGCTTTTGTGAATCGTGCGCGAACAACGAAATGTCGTCGTACGTATATTCGGTGTTGTGCATTTGCATTATAATTATGCGTGATCAAGTGGATCTACAATAGAAAACGTGAAAAAACACTGACAAGAATGTGAACACCAACGATTTTACACAATGCGATTGTCGAACAACAAAATTGGAGCGACCAGAATTCCTGACAACTGTACAACAGAGCAGTGCAATCAAGTAAATAATTATTTTATTTTATAAATTGTTAGTATTGCGTTTACAGCTATCAAAATTTATTGAAAAATACAACTTACGTTTTTTTGTTACTTCCAAGCGATTTAAGAATAAAAAACAAAATCAAAACCAATTCAATCAAAAAGAAGATTGCATTTTTATTCATTGTGTGTGAGTTAGTCGTGTAGTTTATGTACACAAAATGTAGATATTGCTCTCGAGTTTTTTTTTGATAGCATTTATTTATTGTAACTAATTTTGTAATGAGATTTTAACAACGGCCTCGCTGAAGAGGATATTTTGTTAAATATTTCTTTGATATATATATATATATAAACACAATCGATAAAGTCTTACATCTATATATATATAGTTATATATATAGTTATATATATATAACTTACGTATAGAATGTATTAGTTTAATTAGTACATATTACTTAATATTTTTTTAAGTTTTGATATTATTATATTTTTAATATATTTCAATAATTTAATTTCTTTTAATGCACAGAGATTTAGAATGCAGTTTTTTTTAATTAAACAAAGTAGAATTTTATTCACGGATCTAAATTTTGTTTTAATATAAAAATGTATATAAGGTATGGAGAGGAAAAAACAATAAACATGCATTTATATTTATTTTTAATAAGAAAAAGATTTATTATGTAAAATACATAATACGTGATTATTACCGATGTTTATTTGTTCAGTTTTGGATATTTATTTGTTCAGTGTGGCTCAGTTTAGAATTTGGTATAAAAATTAATGTTATAATCTAAAAAACTTAATGTTATACATATATATAAAAGAAATGTTTTCGTTATTGATTAGAGTATAGATTTTTGTTTCTTTTTTACTAAACTAGCTGCACTAGTTTTGAGTTCATTTTTTTTACTCTAAAAGAGAGAAAAGAAAAAAGATAAACTTTAAACTAGTATGACTAGCTTATCGAAAAAGAAAAAGCCAGTGTTGGAAGAGTAATCGCATGTTCACTATATTCTACTGCAGTAGTAATACATATGTAACTCAAACTGCTATACATAGTCATAAATGAGTAAGATTTCCAACGAGAAGACATTTGCAGCAGTTGCATATGTATCGAAGTATACAATATATTTGCTAGTGCAAACGTCGGTATTAAAACTCTTACTATAAAGTTACACGTTTCGACATTTAACCAGAGTGGTACAATAATTAGAAATGGAAGGATAGTTTCAAGATCCTTTTGATGAGCATATCGAATGCGTTCCACATCCGGGTGACCATTACCGGTTGGACATAATATTATTTCAGGCTTTTTTGTCATCCACATTTTATCTTCTTCACTGTGGATCACCTGTGCAATAAAACAAATTGCAAATAAAACAAAACGGATATGGAAAATTTCAATTCTATCTGTTCTTTTAAATAATGCAATCTCACATTTTGAAAACAACAGATTTATTTGAGAGTAGTTTGTTCTACGGCAATTGTTATTATTGTAGTAACTTAAAAAAAAAGTGATCGGATAAAATTGGTAACAAATATAAAACCTATCTGAAATGTAAATATAAACGGTTCACTTATCATATTGCAATGTAAAATAGCGATAATTGACTCAAAAGCTTTTATATATTTCATGTGCAAACTGTTTTCTTTTTTATTTTTATTGCATGTATGTGTCATATATCCACAATAATGGGATCTACATGATAAAAGATAAAGTACATACTGCATTCGAGAAAACGATATATATTGAGATTGTAGCAATGTTTAATTTTGAATATACCAAAATTGATTTAATTTGCGTTCCAATTTAGGTGTATGTCAAAATTTGAATTGTACGTGCAGATTATTCAAAAGGTAATGGAAATTTTGTGTCTACATAAAATTACGTTAACAATTTTTAAAGAAAAATTACGATTTAATTACATTTCTGCACTAGTAATTAACTCAACGGAGAAATTTATCAGTGTTTAAAATTTAATAGTAATTCGCATTTATAAACTAATATCAATAACTTCAGTTTTTAAAAAATTTGTTAATTATTAGATTTTGACAAATATTTACTATACATATTACGTTGTATGTGTGTAGTGCAATTGTTAAAAATACATTTTCAAAGTGAAAAATAATAGCTTGAACAATTTGAAGTAAAATATATAAATAAACGATGTAATGTAATAATCTACTTAAATAGCATTTTTAAAAACGAGCAAATCAGCATGTTGACACAAAGAAAAATGTATTCTGCAAACTCGACATTTAATAATGAGTGATCTTGTCTACTAAGAATCGCTACTGGCACATTCACTTTTGTTTCATAGAAATAAGATTAAAACAATGTCCTGTTTAAAGAAAATTAATTGTATAAATATTTTTTTACAGATGGATATATATGACAGTACTGGATGAGTAATTGGAATGCAGCAGCCCGGTGAGTTAATTCATTCATTATGCATGCGCAAGTATACTCTTGTTTTATAATGTTACCACACCTTATAAATCATTTTGACACAAAAACAAGTTTTTTTAACCGGTTTTGTGTTGTCTCTTATATCGTGAAAAAAAGCAAAACATTAATTAAATTAAATTAATCTTGAATTTTAATTATTTACTAATGTTTATACCTTATAAGCGCATAATATTATTTAATATCAAATAATATTTTTGAATATTACTTGATGTTAAATAATATTATGCGCTTATAAAATAACTTTTATTATCTTAGTAATTCTATTATCTTATTATTATAATAATTATTTTTTTTATGATAATTTATTTACAACTTGGGCAATATGTACTGTGGCTTTACTCTTTTACCTGGTGTTCTACTCGAATCTTTCCAGTTCGCCAAGTTAAGTACATCATCTTCAGCACAAGCACGCATGACCACCAAGCGTATATAGACCACCATAACTCGTGTTGTTCCTCGTTTTTTGCAGTTGCATTTGATAACATTGTCACTGACAACTTTATCTGTTTAACGTTCCGTTCGCGTTCACGAGAAATCTGACGCGTTGCTGTAACTATAATGCACTTTCTACACTCGCAGTTTCTCGTTTACCGACAAGTATCCGATTAGCAAGTCAAATGCATGAACGGCAATAGGTAAATACGATGCCTAGACGAGCGGGAAGATGTAAACGACCATCCGCGATCTAAGTGTGGCATCCGATCTAAAAATATCGAATTTAAAAAAAATTGGTTTATTTCAGCTTTATGCGTTTCTGCTCATTTGCATTTTAATTCTATTCATATTCGTTAATTTAATATGATTAAAATAATTGTCAGCTTATTTCAAAACGTTCTAATACCGTTTGATTAGAATTGTTCATACGCATTTTTTGTGTCGTGCGCATGTTATTTTATAAATTTTTCTATATTTAAAAACAATACCTAAATGCGTTTCATCGTATTTCGGAAATGCCTAGATTCGTATAAGGTCACATTCGTGAAAAACGCGAAACATTGAAGTAAAACAGAAAAGATTGCTAATTTTTACATGTTTACACGAGAATCTGCAAAACTTTATTTGTAAATTCAATACAAGAGCTTATATAGCAATTAACTAATATAATCAATAAAACTCACAGTTAGTTCCCCAGTAAATTTATAAAATACGTACATACGATAACGTTAAATATCAAAATTCACAAAACTCCGAGGATCTCTCCCACTGCATTTTATTAGAAACAAAAAATTATCAGAAGTGATCGATTTACTTGGCGATAAAACAGATTTATTACATTCGACAACAAAAAAACGCCAACAATGTTATCAATGTAATTCTATACGCGAGTTACAGATGCCATTGGGCGATATTGCGTTTCTTTATGTTCGACATTCTTGATACCCAAATTAGATCATTTCCAAGAAAGAAGTCTGTAGCTACGATATTCGTTTCTTTCCACCACTCTTCTTGAAACTTGACAGTAAGATTTCGATTAACGGAATCGGCCATTTGCCGAAGTCCGCCGGATAGATTAAATAAAATGTCTAACGGGAATGGTGTTAGTTCCGCCATTACCGCCCACAATGGATTCTGACTATTCCTGCGTCTCTTTGGTCGTAAGATCTCTTCGTCCAAGTACTCGAAAAGACCCTCCACAGTTTGTTGATTGCCCCATACTTGCGTCAAGGGCGGCCACAGCCAGTCAAATTCTAAAGTAAGGAGACTTGAGTGGAGTTATCTCTAACGTTATAAGTACAATTAATAGTTCAAGACGTTCAAAAAAATTAACAAAATTTGCCAATTGCAAAGTTTGCTAACAAATCTCTGTATTATCTTCTTTATCGGAATTTAAAAATTTGCAGGCATTTTCTCTCTCTCCCTGTCTCTTCCTCTGTCTCTCTCTCTCTCTCTCTCTCTCTCTCTCTCTCTCTCTCTCTCTTTCTGCTTTATAACTAAGATCGTAAATCTTTTTACCGTTTACGGTGTGCTTGTCGCCATAACAAATAATTAATCTCTTCCCGCCGGTCCATATGTCATTCAATGTTGGTCCCAGACCTTCGACCCCTCTGTCTGGCTTTAAAATTAATCCTTCGAACTCGCGATGTAGAATAGCTAACAGTTTCCGGTGTCTGTTCGGTCTACCTTCGAAACCCACGGGAAACCTATTTATTAATTCCTACAATTATTATTACACATTCCGAATACGCACTATAGAAAAGATGCATTTGTCAAAGCCATCGCGATCAATAACGCTAAACTAGAAAAGAGAAAGAACATCTATTAAAAGATTTTCTTCTTTTTTTTTTACATACTTTGTAACTGAAGTTGAAAACTATTTGGAAGCGGGTATTTTTATTAGTTTTATCGAGATTAAATTTGTTTAATTTTTTCTTCAACAATATTCACGTAATAGATAACATACATCTTTTAATGGCTGCTTCTATCCGAGTATAAATTTTACAACTACAAGATAACATTTTATCTCATGGATTATTTAATCGTGTATAACGCAATATTTTAAACTCACACAATCCCGTTTTACCTGTGAAAGTCCATAATCACAACTTCACTCCTCGTCGCGTCTAGGAAGTTTCTCACGTCTCTTAAAATCTCTGAAAGAGGTGTGATGCGAATGACGTCGTGATTAACCCAGAATCTGCTCACATGATTACCCTCTTCGTCAAGTGCGGTGCCGTTCGGTATCAACGGATAGTACCCGACTCTGATATCCAAATATCTTATGCCGTGCACCAACTGCGTCCACACATCGCGATCTTGCGTTAGCAAATATCGCTGAAAAGCATCGCGACGTGTCAGATCGCCGTGTTTATAACAACCAGAATTATGTGTTCCGGGTATCATCAGACTGCCGATAGGAAGCGTGCCGATTTCTCTTCTTCAACAACAAAGTTTTTAAAAAACTTCAGAGAGTACAAACGATAGCACATCATTCGTATAGTCCTCGAGAACATTAAAAAAAATTAATAAAAAAACAAAATGATACCTCAAATCGTGCATCCAAGTCGGCCAAATCTTCAAACAAGTCATGGAAAACATGTGAGAGTTTTTGTAGAGAATTGCATAATAATTAAAGCAATGTGATCCCGGAAGAGTCGCTCCGTCCCTCTTATCCCACCCTCCTGGTAGCGGCGGACGACCGACCGTGATATTTGTCCTGTAATATCCTCGCGGACATTGCAAGGAAGTCAAAGTCAATTCAGGCTTTATTGTCTTACCTGAAACAAATAAGTTTCGCGGTTGCGTTCACGGGCGTTCGAAATTCAAGCGATTATTTACAGTGAGAAAATATGATGAGAGGATGGGTGCGTTCGATTTCGCGACGATTTATTTCGTAAGATAAATCGGATTGGAAGCAATTCAAAACTATCGAGGGATTCATTTCGAGCGGATTAGTGTTTTCAAATTGAACGCGATAGACGGAAGAGAGAAAGAGAGAAAGAAAGAGAGAGACAGACAGACTTAGCGGACAAGTTTTAACGACGGACTCAAAGCGTTTTAACGCGTATAAGCCGCGATTTATATCGATCGATCAATGAAATACGAAAACAAAGAATAAACTTTTACAAAAACTTTTTTTCAAATTTAAAGAACATCGGAAACGAATAAAAGTTTTAGATAAAATAAAAAAATAATCAATATCAATGGATTAATTGTTAACTCAAGTGCACAAATATGAAATTCACAAAGTTGTATTCGCAAGGTAAGAAATAGACCAAAACGTGCATAATTGTTTTGTTGATTTGCGAATTTTTTTTGCGATATTTAACACATACAGGAGAAGCAAAAAATTTATTACTATGTACTGCTAATGGGTTAGCAGTGAACACCTTGATCTGGTAATCCTGGATTTCTGAATATTTTGTGTCTGCCGGACAATCCAATTCCCAATTTACTTCTAACTCAGCGTCGATTATTTTGTCGGAGTCAGGGATTGATCTCCACAAAGAGGAGACCGTTAGATATACTTTTCTGCCTTGTCTCGCCAATGCTGAAAATAAAATTAAAAGAAACTAAAGTCGAGAAAGCAAATAGAACAAAAGCAAATCGTAACTCACCGATGTTGCAGAAAATCTGCAAGATTAACAAAGTAATTCCTCTCAGCATGGTAAGAAGGATAACGAAAAATTTCGATTCAAATTATTTATCTATCTCTTTCAATGTCTCTATTGTTGGCAGTGTTCAACTGTCAACAATAATTGTTCTTCCGTTTTTCGTTTGAACTGATTTTTATTCTTTCGTGCATAACGACAAAAATCTGATTCTCCTCTCCAATCTCAACAACACGAACGACGATCGATACGTATTACTTTTTTCAATCACACGTCTCAATTCAAGTAAGAAGACTTCTCGATCGAGTCAAAACATTGTCATCACATTGGAAAACTCCGGAAGAGAAATAGAATCGCGCGCGCGCGCAAAAAAAAAAAAACGAATTTGATCGGTTGATCCGCTACCAACGTAGCGCGATAGTTCTCGGCTGACAAACCACAATGACTGAACGATGAACAGAACGAACGAGCTACATCGAGTATAACAGTGTAACCGGAGTAGTTTAATATAGAACCCGCTTATGGAACATTCAAGCACATTGCGCTTCCATCCTTCCGTTACTTCATCGTGCTCATCAATTGAGCACCAGAAGGGACCAAGAACAGTTTGTCTTCTTTCTCTCTCTCTACGCCCGCTTTTTCGCACACGTCGACTATCGTTGCGTGTACTCGAGCTCGGCTTGTCGTCATTAAATATTATTTCCTGCGTATACTGTCACGGAATATATAATTTCGAGGGAGAGCCGACGATGAACGCATTCAATTGATCGAACGGCCAGCGCGCGCGCGCGCGCGCGCGGGTTGGGAGAGGGTTCAAATTCTACATTGAATTATCACCCTCGTGCATCGTACGCAGAGGACATTGGATGTCAGGAGGGAAGCGTCGTGAGAGCAAATAGACTAATCGTTATGTAGAGGCTTCAATCCGCGATTTATCGGCTACATTTTAACGTATTTTATGGTACATAAAGTTCAGTTTAGTCAGGATTAATCGAGAATACATGGCAAATTGTACGACTGTCTGTCAGTTTCATGCTGACAACGAACGTGTTGTAAATATTATTTGTGGAAATTATTGTGACTCGACTAATACGTGTTTTGATTGTGAATAAATAATTTTTAACTATACTTCTTCTTAATTCTTTCATAAAGTCACTTATTTTTAATTGAATTATTACCAAGCACATCAACGTAAATCTTTTGTCAAACGATTTATACACAAACGTGAGGATAAAAGCAAAACAAAAGATTGGCCTCCAAAATTTCGGAGTACAACAGATATACAATTTATTTACAATGTGTCATACTTTAAAAAATAACAGTAAATATTACGGTATACATGTAAAAAGAAGTAAATATTTTAAAATATATCTTTGATTATTCTACATTCATGTAGGAGTTCAAATTCAAACAAACTTGAAAAAAATTCCAAACTGTAATTTCGAGAGCATCAGTATGATACCAATAAAAAAATACAAATAATAATTGCGCTTTTCATTCAGCAAGCATCAGTGTATTTTTACTAGAATAACACAAATAATTATTGTACAAATATTTCTCATCGATATCATCGATATGTGCTTACACAAAGACTACAACCGCCGCATTTCTATGCTATATGTTAAATAAATAAAGTTACTTGGCACAGTTATATATTACAAAAAATTTGAGATATAGATACAATATATATATTTTTTTCTTCTGCGCGTATTAACTTACAATAATTAATTGTTCTTATCATGATGCTCTAAGTTGCTCAAAATCCAAGTTAACGATTATAGAGTACATAAAGGACGTTAATACGATTTGATTCGTTGAGGTAGATAATTTAATCAGTCTATGAAACTGCTTCGTCGGCCGGTTCTAGCTAGCAAACGAAGTTTCCCTGTTCCGACATTGAGAAAATCAGTCCCGTCTGTCACTGAAAGATTTTTTTGCGCATGTGTGTATAGTCTTTCGCGTGCATAACTAAACTATGCTCTGATTCTTAATACGACATCGGTCAATTTTCGTGACAACTTCTATGCCGTGAGATGAGTGTCGATTTAAAAAATACATAAAATGTGCTTATTTTACTTACAAACTATAAAATAAATTAAAATATTGTGTGTGTGTATATATATAGTCGTACAGTTACAATACAATGTACATTTTCTGTATGTCTGAGCTTTCTCGCCCTTTCTCCAAGCGGAATATAAATTGAGGTTTCTACACATCCTCGATTTTCTTTTCTGCGAATACAGGTTTTGAAATTTCTTTATATGTGTACATTTATTTATTTTGGTTGAATATATATTAAGATGTAATCTTTGTATATCGCAGAATTTTTCATTGCAATCATACAGTTTTCGATGTTAAGTTTTTTTTTTTTTTTTTTTTTGTTATTAGAATAAAATTGATTGTAATGTCATTTTTACATATTTATATATGTATCTGAAATCTCTTGAAGGATTTGTTTTCATTAAATTTTAAATATTTGCAATAATACTCGTAAATCTTCCAAAATTTAAGTACTATGACATTGGCACTGATGAGATCGTTTCTGTACGTTATTGAAATAAAATGTTTGAGATTTTACCTAAATTTCAATCTCCTTGGACGTGCCAATACAAAGATATCAGTGAAATGTAAAGCGAGCAAGAAAACTCTGTAAAATTGTTACAGAACGTCTGTCGCTAAGTCGCGGTTCTGGTGAGAAGAGTCAGCAATTCATCATGATCCATACTGTTTAACGTGTGAATATCCACACCGAGAGCGTTCGCGACGCTTGCCATTTCTAGGCCGAAGCTCTTGAGAAGTTCGATTAAGTCCATTTCCTCGCCCGTGAAGGGATTGTGGAGCTTCGGACAGCTGTGGTTACATTGCGGCCAAGTGCAGCGCTCAACTATATGAAAACGGCAGTCCTCATGGCATTTCCATTTGCCAGACGATATTATCTGCTGCTTGGTGTTCGGCTTGGTATTTGACTTGGTTCCGTTAAACATGAATGTATGATTGTCGTTAAGTTGCTTCTCACCTCTGCGATTACCTACGAAGACAATTTGCAAAAATAATAAATTAATTACAAGACGCATAAAAAAGTATCTAATTTTTCTTCGAATAATAATGTTGTGATTTCATCGCGCAGATAAATTATAGTACGAGTCCAAATGTGTTTGGAATTTATATTTTTATAAAAAATTAAGCACATGAGACAGCATTTAAACCATTCAAAGAATGTTGGGTGTTATTGAAGAAGAGTCAAAACATGTTTGCGCGTTTCTTCAACCATCATCAATACCTTTCCTTCGCTCGTGTTTTTTTCTCCTTCCTCTTCTTGCCTCTTTGTTCCTCTGTCTCTCCTTCCTCTTCCTACCTTTGTGTTTTCTCTTTCGCTTCTTCTTGTTCTCCTGCTCCTGAATCGAGCCGGAGGCTGGTTTCCTCTCTCGCGTTTTGCCAGCAACAGTCGATCGGGCTTTTTGCATTTCCGTAAGAGATTCAGCTTTGCTTTTTCCGTTCTCAATCGCGGTACCATTTTCCTTACTCGCACCGGAGCGCAGTAGCTGTTTCAGCGGTTTCCTGCACGGTTGATTGGTTTCGATTTGCGAGGGAGTGCTACGACAGAACGAAGAACATTCGTCCGATAAGACTTGTTGAAGTCTTATCGATCGTCGTTGATTTAATTTATCATCAATACCAAAAACTCGAAAGTATACTTATTTTTATAATATAGTTTTTCTCATTAAATAATGATATAATATATGATAGCGATATTTTTTGTGCGCATTACAATAGATCAACCGGCTACTTACTCGTTGCTGTGATAATTTGCGGTCAACATTTCGTCCCAGCAATGCAAGGCGTGTGCAAATGAATAATCGTCTATTTTAACCATTTTCCAATCTTTTATTGTTAAAACGCTATGACTGATGCAGCTCGGTGCAAAAGCCGCGCTAACATTTTCGAGCGACTGCCGCACGTTGTCGCCCATTTTATGTATGTGATCCCATCGCTGTTTCGTCACCGGTGTAGGGATATTATAGGCCATTATCGGTGTCTCGTCGAATATCCATTGGAAAACAAACAACGGTGCTACGATGTCAATCGAACGTTTGAGTTTTCTTTCGTAATATTGAAGCGAGATATATAAATGCTAAATAGAAGTTCATCACATGATATCAGATAAAAAAACAAAAAAAGGATGTCCACTCACCGGACAGAGTTGAATAAATTCGATGTCCGAAAAAACATCTCCACGACTCGTTGGGGTATTTAATCACGCAACTATTGGGCATTCGAGACTGCCATAATTCCATTCCCTTTTTTATCGCGTCAACGGGAGACATGCCGTTTTGGAAGGCGGGTAAATCATCGAGGAACCACCCGGAATCCGATACACCATGTATAGCGATATGTCTTAATCCTGTGCGAACAGATATCATCTTATCGTTGATAAATGGCATAACGTCGCTAACAATATCGAAGATAAATTGACGAAAAACTCAGAATGTCAAATTTTGATGTTTCCAGCGGCGATACGAACGATAATATAAATATTAATGTGTTATGATAATCGTTATTATTATTGATATTAATTCGTTTAATAATGTATAACTGAATTTTCATAAAACTTATAATGAATAATTATGATATCCGAGAAATTAGGACGATAATAATCAAAGAACGGGAGTCGTTTTAAATAAGGATGATCGATATTCGATATAGATCTTCATGTCACATACCAAGCTCACGATGTATCAAATGGTGAACACGATTCAAATTTAACATGACGCCGGTGCCGCCCGCGCTGCTCCCAGACAGCAGAAAACTATTTGCACTTTCGAGACCGAGGGGAACCAGATCGCGAATAACCTGAGTGACAATTTCTGCCCCCATAAACGAGAACATGCCGTCCCGTCCTCTGGAACTGCCGCTCCAAATATCGCTCGTGCAGTAAGGAACAAATCTGCGAAAAAACAACAAGATCGGCACGTTATAAAGGAAAGATTCGATGAGTCGACGTGAGGTCAATCACAAGACGGACAATACCTACACATGATTCGCGAGCCAAAAGTGTGGATTTTCATTGGGATGCATCGAAAGTATCCCGCCCACTAAAAGAAAAACAACCGTGAACAAGGTGAAAAGGATAAAAGAAATTGCGGCGCGCGAGCTTCGGCGCTCGTATACTGGAAGCGGAAAATCGGTTATTTGCCGCACACATATAATTATAAACGATCGAGGACCCACCGTCGCGTGTCTCGGGCCACTGAGTCGACGTCATCAAATGCCGTGCCCGCATCCATCTGGACCTGCAGGTCCTGTTATCGTAGCAATACCAGCCGCCATCCAGGAACATGATCCACCGCTTAGAGCCGTGAGACTTTCGCAGGTAGAAACCGGCTTGCGATCCATCGTTGCAAGTGATCGTTCTGTTGCTCAGGTACACCTTCTTCAGACCTCTCTGATCGTCTAGACCAAAGTTTCCCAAGATGGTGATCAGCTTCTGTATCGTGTTGCTCTTCAATTCCGTTGAAGGCGAACCTGGAGAAACGGAGACTGTGTTCGGCTTGTCCTCGGCGACTATCATCAGTATCAACGTCGTCAAGTACAACGTGATCTGCAACATACGTGAAAAATGTTATTTTCAGAGAAAATTCATTAAAAAATCGTTATCGGACAAGCCCTGATCATAGTTCTTTTGCACTTGCGATAGTTCTGCAGAAAACTTGCAAACCAAAAGTCTGAGATGTTAACTTTTCGTGGCATTTTGAAAAAATATTAACTTTAACTACGAAATCTTATAAATTTTCAAAGAAATTGGAAGAAATTTCTTTTTCCGTGTAATAATTTTTATTTTTCATGTAATAATTTTTAAGTTGTCTGAACTATATTCGGATTATAGTGGACTTCCAATAACGGCAAATAGTTTTCATAAATATTATTGCTACTTTCTGCTAATTATAACGGTCTCTCTTTTATACTAGACTATTTCAGAGTGCTTGCTTTTACATAATGTAGAGTTCCCGTTCAAAGAAACGCGTATACATTCAAGATGTATTAAGAATTCTCAATCCTCTCTTTTCTCTTTCCCTTCCTTTTACATTTTCTTTCTTTTTGCCGGCTCTGTAACCGGCGCGTTAGAGAGTGTCCGGGGCGTGAAGGTGTCCGTCATAATTTGCCACCCGTCGCATAATCCTCGTGACAAAGGCCGACAAAATGACGGCTGTTACTCGGACCGGCGGCACCGTACACTAGCAGAGAATCCGGTAGCAGGTAAAACGTTTAAAGATATCGTGCGCCGTAGTCAAAGAGATGAATCACGCTGTAAATAAATGGTCGCGATCTGAACCGCTTTTTACGAGGCGGCGCGCAGTCGTGCACTTTTGCGAGCTCTGATACGTACAGCGTCCACTTAAATTTTGTTATATCATACGAGCGCGAGCGATAAAAAAAAACAAAATTCGGCAAATATATTTTTATCGCGATCGATAAAAGAGTATAATTTTATCAATTAAACTTTCTGTTTTACTTTGCAAATTGTAAATATTGTTTTTTGTTTGACTTTTGGGAGAAAATTATCACATTTAACTCTTCAAACGATCGATTGGTTCTTCACATTTAATAATTTTCTCTTTTGCTAAATGATAGATTTCTGATATTTGTAATATTGTGTAAATTTCTGCACGATTTAATACACGTGTTTTTCCCAGTTTCGTTCAAAACAGAATAATATGTGAGTCGGGTTGTATTATTGGATTGTATTATATTTATCTAATGGTTATAGAAGCGAAAATTATAACGCGATATTATGTGTAAAGTGATATATAACATGTATTTAAATATCACACACAGGAGCTATAAAACTCGAATTTCTTTCTATCGATTCCAATAGACGTTCGAGAATATCGGATCTTACTACTTTTTTGCGTAAGTAAATGATCTCGTACTTTTGAATCGAGACAGAAAGGTTGAACGGCAATGCCCTGCTTTACGATTCCGTCGTCCGACAAAAGAAACGTTCGCTTCCGCGAGATTTAAGGAGCCGGCTGATCCACCTTCTCCGTTGCGAATTCATTTGTTCCACACCTGATTCCACCTCGAGGTTGACTGACTCTCGTAGCTGGTGATGCGTGGCATTCCGCCGAAGTGGCGTGTGCGAATGCACACGCACGGAACGATAAAGGAAGAAAAGGATAATAAGAATAAGAGAAAAGAAGAAAGAGAGAGAGAGAGAGAGAGAGAGAGAAAAGTACAATTTATTCATACTCTGGGACATGGTCTCTCTAACAGCGTACAGAAAAGAATGGAACTTTAGGGACACATACATAATTCATTGATGGATACAGTTAAACGTAGTACTGACTAAAATAATAAAATAAATACTTTAAACACGCGGTAACAATGAAAAACACTGGGAAAACAGCGGAAATTGTGATATATTGCAAATGTGTGTTTTATTTTGTTGTAACTTTTATTCTGCATAAATAGAATTCCCGGATTGGATAATACCAAAAAATCTTCTTCTCGGTCAGTAGTAAAACAATAAAACTACAAAAGAATGTGTTGTGCAAAAGAAGAGAGACAAAAACAGCGAGAACAAGAGAGAGAGAGAGAGAGGGAGAGAGAGAGAGGGAGAATGAGAGAAGCGCACAAGGGAGAGACGAAAACAAGTTAAAAATAGCCAGAGAGCGGATCGCGGTCGGCATCTTTGAGAGAGTATCGCACGTCTTACTGGCCAGTCCAAGAGTCGTTGATCGTTCGCATTGCGTTTTGTCTTGGTCGTCGTCGTCGTCGTCGTCGTCTGTTGATGATGATGGTGAGAGACCGTCTCGTTACCATTACGAGGGCTGGCCAGCTGGCTAACATGCACCGCAAACCACGCATTACCATAACCGCGTACGCAAGCAAGATTGTGTTGTGTCTTGCTTTCCTGCGACTCCTTCCTCGTAAGGAAAGTAAGCGTCAACTTTCGGCGCGCACTCGCGACTTAATGAGCGAGATGCGGAAGGAACTAGAGAGAATTGCCGAGGGTGTTAGATCGCTTTCTCGAATATGATGGTTTTTTAAATCTTAGCTTTTGATTTAGTGTGAGAAAATAAATTTAAGGGCCACACTGCGCGCGCGAGATTTTTCCGCAACTTTATCAACGTGTTAGAATTTTATTAAAATCTTATCCAAAACTGAGAATTTGCTAAATACATATATGAAATCTCGATCTTACACGCGTGATTAATAAATATTTTATATATATATATATATATATTGGGAGCAAAATTATTAATTTACTTAACAATTCTAAAATTGATTTAACGATACGTCACGTGTAATAAACGCTCCGTAGTTATGGGATGAATATTCATTGTGTTTTATTATCATCGATTTCATCAACTGATCTCCAGTCGCTTGTAATAGAGGATGATATATAATAGTATGCAAATTGGACGTTAAATTAAAAACGAGAGAGGGATGCTTCCTCGCGGTGCGTTCCAATGCAAACATATTTCTCTGGAGAATTCCTCTCGTCTCTCTGTTTTGATATCGCTAGTACAAATATCGAAAACATGGTTTTCATCATCAGTTCACGAAAAACTCGAACCTTAAGCCGATTTCGTGCGTTTATTTATGACCTTCACTTTCTTTACGTATCGTTTTGTCGACAGCTCGATCTCTTTAACGAAACCGAAGAAACGAAGTGAGATACACATTCAGTTCTTAGCGATTGAGTTGTCCACGGGGATAGATGTCGGCGAGTCTTTACCTATATCTCATCTTTGATATGTTTTCACACCGACTAGGTTATTTTCATCCCGAAGTACGTGATACTTTCTATATCTTTGCGATTACTCTCTTGCAATATGCATAGGTCGTATTTATATTTGAGGTCGGACAGTTCTTTCTAATAATCTCTTTTGCCGTGCGCAAAGCCCTTGTAAAGCCCTCCTTTATAATCCTAAAATACGTTAGAAAAAACAAGTCGGCTTTCTTTTGACACTGTACAATACTGTAAAATTCAATTTTGCATGAATATATATATATATATATATATATATATATATACACAGCTTACAACTGTTCGTAAAATAACATTCTTTATTCTAAGTTTGCACGTATTTTAATCGGCCAAATCGGAAATCATTCAATAATTAATATAGGATTGCGCGATGTATAATCAACGATAGATATGGATATATATATATCACTTCTATTTAGATCTCTCTCACAAGTTTTGAATGAGGAAAAAAAAAAGTAGAAGGAAAAGACGCGTAAATATCGGACGTAATTTACATCGATGGTCTCGGAAGGAGAAGAGAGAGACGGAAGACAACGGGATTTAAAAAAAATGAGAGAGAAAAAGAGAGAGAGAGAAACGGACGCGTATAAAAGGGTGCAGGAAAGGAAGAGACGAGGAAGGAAGAGAGAGCAGGTGGCGAGATAGGGTATACTCCAGTGGATTAAGGTACGGAGCGGCCGAGTCAAAGAGATTTTCTCCCCGGCCCGTCTCGGCAGGGGCCCCTCGTCCTAACAAGGGCTGAAATATGACTGCCTTGCCCTACCCGCCTTCGCTGGCTCACTCGCTTCGCACAGCTTCGTCGCGCCGCGCCGCTTCATGCGCGCCTTCCGAACGCGCCACACGAGGGAAAAGTGAAGGAGATATCTGCTGGCAACTAATTTATCGGTCGGCCTGTTTGCCGCGCGCGGCGACCCGCGGGATCAACGCACTTTCCCGACGCCGGAGATTCGCAACCTAGCTCTAACGTCTAGGTCGCAATTTCGTTTGCATTAATTATCTGTACGACGAGAACATTCATCGAAATGTCGCGAACTTTGCCAACGGGAAAGAAGTTATAGCTCGACAAATCGAATCGATATTAAATTCTCGTCATGATTCTCATTTGCTGCGTTTTCTACTCGTGCGGGTTCGCGATACCTACATGAAATTCTCGGTTTCTCAACGAAAACTATCGAATTCGCAGAAAAAAAGATTATTTTCTGGCGACAATTTTGATAAGGAGAAGAGACAAAGGGCTCGATTATGCCGGGGGTGGTGCGATGCGACGAACAAAGTACCTACCCGCCGCGCGTCGACCGTGACTGCGGAGCGGCGGTCGCATGGTGGTCGCGGCTTGGCGCAGTGGTTGCGGCCGCGGCGGCGATAGCAGTGTGACGGTGACGTCGGTGGTAATGGCGATGGTGGTAGTGGCGGCGGCAGCGGTGCGATAGTGATGGTAGCGGTGGTCCATCGGAGTAAATATATTGGATGGCGGTAGGATTGGTGGCGGTGTCTTCCGCTCTCTACTTGAGCCGCGTGCCCGCTCGCTCGTTCACGCCCGAGGTGCGCCTTTGATGTGCCGCCTACACCGCGTTCTTGCTAACTCTCTCTTACACGAGTAACTCGCGCGGCGCGCCGCGGCGGAACCGAGAGATTGCGTTTTTCCTTCGACCGACACTCGCCGGTTCGAGCGGCAAAAAGTCGCTCTTCCGCGCCGCGGAAAAATCACAACCGCTCTTCAGAAGTTCCGTCGAGCCGCGGCGACGAACTTTGACCTTGATTCGCCTGGAAGATCGAGGAAGAAATGAGAAACAAGATGTGTGAAAGAAGGAGTGAGAGAGCGAGAG